CTATTTCCTAAGAATGTGTCGATTAATGTAGACTGACGTTGTTCTAATCACTCTTTTTAATAATAAAGAATGTAGTGTAGCACACAGAATATAATCATTGTGAAATTGCTGTTTATTTTGCTGCACCGACAGTTATAGGGTTAATGCGGGAGAGACGAGCGAGTGCGTCTGTGATACAACTGTTCTGTGTTCTGATTAAAAGTTAAGACACAGAGTGTCTTTTGTCTGTCGTTCTGTATTGTTTCATCAGTTAGTCACGTTAGCACTCTGCTAACATATCCACCATTATTGTTTTAAGTGTTCACAGTTTAGCAGCTAAACTTTAGCTGTGGGCACGATTCGCTTGCATAAGTGTTTTGTATTTTATGTCATTATTATAAGAACGGATTGGAGCACTATATTATTGTTTTATGCAAAGTAGTGTTGGGTCGTTCTTGAACGATTCGTTCATTTTGAAGTAACCAACTCTTTATTACCTTTGTTACAACATTCAGTGTTATGGAAAAGAACCATCATGACAAAAATTCACACATTTATAAACTGTAAGAAGTAAAAAGCTACAATTTGAGACCAGAAACGCATCACGTAACTGTAAGAGTAAATAATAATTATAATAATGATGATAATAATAATAATAATAATAATAATAATAACTATGCACCCGTTTGTAAGGAAGCTTGTAAATTAACTAATTTCTCTATCCAATGCTGTCACGTCACGTGACAAAAGAACGAACGATTCGAAATGCTTGAGAGATGAACTAATCAATTCTCTTTCCGGCTCAGACTGCATTGGTTAAGTTTATGGGGCTGTTTATGGGGCTGTTTATGGGGACGAAGACTTGTCAGATAAGAGGTGAGGTGAGCTAATTATTGACTGAAGTCCCAGGTGAACAATGAATTAATATTTTCAGTTTCTTATAGCAGTTTTGTATTGTTTGTAGTGTGATCAACGTTTGCGTAAGTAGTAGACGTGTTAGGGAAGTAACACGTAACATTTTAATTATATTTTGCTAAAATGAAAGAAATGAACGAAATGACTCGAAAAAAGATTTGTTCATTTTGCTGAACGAGACTCAAAGGTCCAAGTCGGTCAAATGATCCGAACTTCCCATCACTAATGCAAAGGTGCTTTGTCAATGGTAGCACTCGCTAACTTGCTCAAGGACTCCTCTCTCTCTCTGTGCCAATCACAGCAGGCTTGGCCAGCTGAACAATCTGAGCAGAGTAGGCTTATGGAAGGGAGGGGTTTGCTCCGAACTTGGAACGAACCGTTCAGAAATCATTGGCAAATGACTCTAATATTAAATGTATATTCTGAGAACATTACAATGTTTTCTGACCTTAGATGCATTTAAACCTGTTGTAGGGGACTCCAACACAATATTAGGACACTATAAAATACGATATGACCTGCTCTTTAAGCATAGTCTGCATGAATTCTGATTACATTTGAAGCTGCCCATGTTTTAATGGGATGCATTGGTCGTTGTTTACCTCAGACCAGTCTCCAGTTTTCCACTGAGGACACAGGAACTCATTACAAGGTTGGACTGTGAGCTTTTCTTGTGGGTTGCACTTGGTTTCGTCATCAGTTTCTGCTGACATTCCACATACTACACTCCTACGACGTGTTCCTCCTCCACAGCTCCTGGAGCACTAGAAAACCAAGAAAAAAATCCTCATAGTAAGTCACATGTGAAAAATGTATACAGTCCACATTCTTTCAAGCACATGAATATATTTAACAAGAGCTGTTTTGAGACCAATGAGATTTTTCGCACCTCAGACCAGGAAGAGTACTCCCATCCACCAGGGTTGCAGTCTCCATGGCACACCTCCTTGTCTTCAGGCTTGTGCTGGTTGCTGCAATATCGGTCGTCAACCTTCTGGGTTTTCCCATCCAACCTGCTCTGTTTGATGCAGTAAATGTACAAAGTCCTGAAGCCCAGACCACAAGTGGCTGTACATTCGCTTTTGCGAACAACCTGCCACCTGTAAATTGAAGAAATGCAACAAAGTTAAACCCCATGTAGCCTTATTTCTGGTTTCATTACAAAAACTAACTAAATAAATAAATAAAAAGACTAATTCAAAAGATTGTCGGGTCGGTAAGATTGTTTTTGAACGTTTTTGAAAAAAGCCTCTTATGTTCACCAAGGTTGCATTTATTCGATCAAAAACAGTAAAAACTGTTACATTGCAAAATATTATTACTATTTAAAATAATGTCATTTATTCCTGTGACGGTAAAGCTGAATTTTCAGCATCATTACTACAGTCTTTGGCGTCACATCATCCTTTAGAAATCATTCTAATATGCTGCTTTTGTGCTCAAGTAACATATCTTATTATGTTGTGCTGCTTAATATTTGATCATTTATAACATTATAAATGCCTTTACTGTCGCTTTTGATCAATTAATTGTACCCTAGCTGAACAAAAGATTCAAGGGATAGTTTACCCAAAAATCAAGTGTATAGCGTTAGTTCTGGCCGCTCACTTGAGTCAAGCTTGCATCGTCTGACTCTCAGATGATCCACATCTACCTATAGGAATACAATGCCTATCACGGCTTTCCTATATACAGTCTCTTCAGTATTATTCAGAAGCTTTTTTACTTGCTCAAGAGCAAATTACCCTCCTCCATCCCCAACTCCTCCTTTCGCCACCATCAGGACTTGGCTTTCTAATAGTCCTCATTGAATCAGACTCCTTTTATCTTGAATAATGTTGTTACACTTAAATATCATTAAGAACATTAATGATATCTAATATCTGATATCTGTTTGCCCAGAACAGAACCATACCGCCAATCCAAACTAGTGGTCGACCGATATTGGTTTTTTGACAGCTGATGCCGATATCTTGGAAAGCAGGGTGGCCGATGGCCGATATAAAGCCGATATAATTTTATTTAATATTTAAGAAATTTAAAATCATTTGAAAATGGATTTAAAAATAAATGTGTAAAATAAACATGCTTATACTTTAAATGACAAAGTATTTTTCACAAATAAACAAATATTTAATAAAAATATAATTAAAAAGGAAGTAAAACCAACAGGGCCCTCAGTATTCTGGGAAGTTTGTGTGCATTGGGAATCACATTTTTTCAAATAAAGCCAAGGTAAAATTAATTTTACATACAGCACACCGTGAAAATGACATGAATATGACATTGGGCAAAAGCATGAAGTGCAGCATAATTTGAAATCACAAGTTTAAAGTTTGTCGATCGCGCGTCTCAATGAAGCTGAACTCTCCTGCCCATATTCAATTCGCACGGATCGACCGTCACACAGAGCACACGTGATCATGCAGGATACAAATGCACACTTCACAAGATCTCACAACTGGATTTGACTAAGTTTGCAAGGTTTTTGAAATTAGATGTTCATTAGTCATTCAAAGATTTGTTTAAACGATATAAATGCATATTTGCTGAATGTTGACGGCAAATGAGAAAGTATTTTATAGTTTGCCTTTCTATTACTAGCAATATAAAAGCAATCTATATAATTCTTTTTTGTATTCATTTTAATTCCTTTGTTTAACAGTTCGATCTGATTATTAGACAGACTTTATCTGTTAAAGACGACAGCGAACAAGAGGGAGAATGTGAGCACTGTGTGTTCAGGCACAGCCGTTCTCAGCACCGTCAAAATAAAAGTCCCGCCTCGAACGCATCGGCCAAACAGAAAAACTTATCGGCGATATATCGGTCGACCACTAATCCAAACTGTATGCTAAGTGTTAATCATTTTGACGTTAGTTTTGCTGACAGAAATTTTAATTCTGTCATTAATTACTCACCCTCATGTTGTTCCAAACCCGTAAGACCTTTGTTCATCTTTGGAACACAAACACAAATTAAGATATTTTTGATGAAATCCGAGAGCTTTCTGACCCTGCATAGACAGCAATGTAACTGAAATGTTCCCAGACCCAGAAACGTGCTAAGGACATTGTTAAAATAGTCCATGCCACATCAGCGATTTAACTGTAATTTTATGAAGTTACAATAATACTTTTTGTGCGCAATGAAAACAAAAATAATGACTTTATTCAACAATTATTCCTCCGCCATTATCGAGAGTACCACGACGTATGTGTGTGCATTCTTCTGTTTGTAAACAAGGTGCAGCGCATGCGTGTTCTACAGGATCAGAAAACTCTTGGATTTCATCAAAAATATCTATTTTGTGTGTTCCGAAGATGAACGAAGGTCTTTAGAATGACATGAGGGTGAGTAATTAATGACAGAATCTTCATTTTTGGGTGAACTATCCTTTTAACTTCTTTAACACACACACACACACACACACACACACACACACACAAACACACACAAACTAGTGAATGTGGACATGTACCTGAGTTCACAGTCTGTGTTGCATGGCTCAGAGATCACAGCTGGTTTGGGAGAGCCATGGCACCGCTGATCAGACACCACTACTCGATCCGACTCACGACTGCACAAGATCTTCCTCTTGCGCTCTCCTGATGCACATAACATACAGCACAAGACATACACAAGTTTAAACACATGTTTGTGATCTAGACAAAGAAAGAACAAAAAAAGTTCCTCATTGCATTCTCCAAATTTCCAAGAAACACTAAACTGGATGACCCCGCCAGCATTAAACGTCTGGTTCAAGTTTACTGAATTCTAAACGGACTTTTCTGGCGAAAGTTTCCCAAAAAATATTTGTTGCTTCACTCACACCCACCTTGGCACAACAGACTGCAATCCTGCCACGGGCCGTACGCATCCCAGAGAAACTGCTGAGGTTTGTCCTCTATGGGAATGTTGTAGGAATACCTGACGTCAGGGTTATAGAGGTTACCTACGGATAGCACCTAGTTGGAAAAGATCACATATAGGCCAAAAGTATGGTGTTACAAAGATTTTAAACATTATTCACACGTTGTTAAAATGTGAGGTTTCACAATGTAAGACAACATAAAAGTTTAAATTGAATTCATTGAAGCCATATTACCTGGATAATAATCTCCTCTTCAATGCGGTCAGTGCAGTTGATTCTCTCAACAACATGGTCAGAGCCGCTGTATTCAATAACAGCATTCCCTACTCTGACTTCCCTTTTAAACATACTGACCACAAAATCACCATTGAGTAAATATTCTCCACGGCTGTTGGACAAGGCTGCAAAACAAAAATGAAACAACATGCATGCTTTATTTTCTTTATGTTTAAGCACAAAAAGCAAATATATATTCATGCCACAGGATAAATAATTAAATAGCGTCCATTTGTTGAAACACAAATATCTCTCACTACAAGACCTGCATGACCTAAGGAATAAAACATTTTCATTTACAGTCAGATTTAGCAACAGTCAGGGCAGATTAGGCTAATCGGGGTAAAGAAATCCAGCATTCTGTGTAGAGGCCACATCTTGCTCTACTGAAGTCAGTGTGCTTCAAAAATGCGCACTAATGTGATTATGTAGCTAATTTCCTGAGTTACTTCCTCACTACTTCACACATTACAACGGCCAACCCCTGGTCCTCATACATAAACACACATAAATGCACCAAATACACATAGGCATGCAAAGATATCAATAAACACACAAGCACAGCTCAGTAATCTGCTGAAAACAGCACATATTTCCTTAGGTTTGTAGAGTTCTGCAGCATTAACACAAAAACGTTTATGAAAACAATTACAAAAGCCTCTTGTAAATAAGCTTGCAGTAAATCTTGACATCAGTTCACCTATGGCACATCAAACCATAGGATTAATTTAATTAAGAATTGATCATGATGAATATGCAAATCAATTTTCCATTTGACAACGGTCTTGTAATGATGCATAAAGCATCAGCACTAACTGAATTATAGCATGCTCTATAGACTCTTGTCTTGACATAAATATTACATTTTTACAAGGGATGCATGGTAGAGGTCTGCGCGGGACTACTTTTTTAGTCCTGTTCCCGCCAGGTTATATTCCGCTCCCACCCACTCCCGCTATATATTCACTCTTTGTTCACCCGCTTAGAATAATTTTCTTCCCGACCCGACCGTTCCCGCAAAATTTAGATCTCGTTTCCAGAATCTCACATTTAAATTTCCGCTACTGAAAGAAAGAGAGATATGCTAACACATAAAAGTGTAGTCTGCACAAAATTGTATGTTATTTTATTAGTCTTTTATTAGTCGTTATTTGTATTTAAATCCTCTGAACTACCATTGAACTACAACTGGGAAAAAAATTGTAGTTCATGTTATTGTATTTAATGTCTAATGTAATTTCTTATCTTACCGAGGTAGTTATCGTCCTCTGGTTTCCCTGAGTAGCTGTGTTGTCTTACATCTATGTTTGTAGCACCACTGGGAATTTGCACCACAACATTGTAACCTGCAAAAAAGCAGAAATCAATAAAATACTCCTCCAAAAAATATTATTATAGAGCAAATATTATTGTTCTTTTGGTCTGTAATTGGGCTGAACTGCGTGGAACTAAAGCGAATCAAGTTAAATCTGAATTAAACTGCTTTGGGTTGCTTGACTAACATGAAAAGAACTGCGCTAAAATAACGGCCTGTGTCACCTACCATAATGCACTATGTTGAACGTTCCTGCCACAGTCTTGCAAGATGAGTTATCCCCACCACACACTCCACACTTATCTCTCCTGGCCTTGGAGTTTAACACGTGGTCACATCCTGCTTGCTGCAGAAACAGAATGTGGAATTAATTCAAAGGACACTTGAACAAGACTATACAGGACTAATGCTTCAGATTATGCAGGATATTCACTGATTTAGGTGCATTTTCACACCATATAGACACACAAATGCACCCACCCTGCACAGGCCCTGCACACAGATGTCATTGGTATCAGGCCCACACTGCGTGCCATCAATAACTCTGTCCCTGAGTTGGTAGTAAGCTGTACTGCCCGCCACACGACAGAATAGCTTACAGCGATCCTTCATCAGAACTACAGCACACACAGCCATGAGAAAGAGTTAATACAGTCTGACTTACTGTATTTAGGACATGTTTCTCATCACAGCTATTCATCTTTGTACCACACAATTATCAACTTAATTAAAATCTAATTGTGTTTGGTAATTTGATTTGTCTCAAATCATTAGGAAAATCTGGGGAATTGTTTAATGTGGGTTATACATACTGAAAGCAATTATATATTAGTCGAACAATACGTTTGAACTTATTCTATTGGGATATCTTTAAAGGGGGGGGGGGGTTTAAAAGACCTGCATTATTATTTTTCAAAAATTTTAAGGTTTGGAATGACATGACGGTGAGATTTTAATATGAATATTTAAATATTCATTTTTGAGTGAACTATCCCTTGAATTTTTTATTATATCTACAACCCATTATGTGCCAGCTGCAACTTACTTCCGCTATACTTTGGCACCCAGCGGACATTTGGAGGTAGACCATTGATGTTGAAGTGCCGCCCATCAAAGCTGGCACACTGTTCCTCCCTGAAGTCTTTCTTTTGCTTGGAGCATGGCTCAGAGTTACAGGAACGGAATTTCATCCTGCGTCCAACACAATACTTCCCCCCATTTCTGGGCCTAAAAGTCATGGAAACACATAAACAGAGCACATATTCACATTGAGAAAATGTAACTACAGTATAAATGAAACTTTCTTTCATAGAAAGTCCCTTTTGCTTTCTTGATGACGTTTGTGTCTGACTGCAATTTAAATTGAGCAAAACCTGCTGTCTACCCATGTGCATTAAGTAAGCAATCTCTTTTGAAGAATATTCTTCTTCAGGATGGCTGTGTTGCTGTCATTTGTCAAGGAACATTGAGAAACCTGGTGCCAATTCACAGTCCAGTGAGGATGCAAGACTACAAAGAGCGGCAGCTTACACGGGTCGGTTGCACTCGCGCACAGCAATCTTGATTCCCCCTCCGCAAGTCCTTGAGCATGTGCCAAAGGGACTCCAGACGCCCCAGGCCCCCTCAGTTGGAACAGATTCATGCTCTTTATGGATGCACAGGCCATGTTTACAATGCTGCAAGCGAGGAGCAAACACAGAAAAGATGAGATCATTGCAGAATCAGTAAGTGCAGCCTGCTTGCTATAAAGTCCACCAACTAGAATGACCAGGAATGATGTTGATACACAGACAATATGATAATTCAAGCATCTAAGTTATCAATTATCAACATAATCTATTTTAATTTCAATCCATGGTGATTATGTAATAGGTTCTGGGACTCCACCCTTTTTGATGCAGAAATCTTCTCTGAAGATCCCTTTCATACGATACATGTCAACTTCTTTCAATGGCAATAAACTTTATGGAGCAAAGTGCCAGGCTACAGCACTATTCCGCCATAAAACTGCACGTGAGTCAAGCGTTGTGATGCAATGCTTAGATTTAAAACAGTTTCACCCAATGATTACCAGACAATCCACATATTATGGGTGGTCCCTGCGTGAAAATCAAAACAAGCTGCAAGAGACCGGTCCTGTGCATATCTAGATACATCAAGCCACATGATACCACAGTGAAAGCATATGACATGCAGGGACAAACAATCTATGGCAGCAATTCGATGTTGAGCTACCTAGCAACCATGTAAAATTGCCCTTCTGTGATGCTATCTGCAACGGTTTTCATATGGAGGTCATGAGAAATGCATTGTCGTTCACAATCACTACCACTACGCAAGTCTGACTTGGGTTCACAATCTGGGAAACATTGTAAAACAGAGACAGGGGCAAAGCAGCATATCAGTGAGGACGAGTGTCATTGTGGAATTGATTTGGTTGCTATTTGGAGGAAATATGTGTTTGAAGTTACACCGAAGAATCTGCTTTTTATCTGCAAAAGATGTCCACAAAACGAATCACATACTCTCTACAAGCAACCAGTAAAAATCTATTATTGCTTCACAATAGAAAATGCTACACAAATCTTGGGCCCTATCATACACCCGGTGCAATGCGGGGGTTTTTTTTGCAAAGTGTTTTTTGCTAGTTTCAGCCCGACGCAGTTGTCATTTTCACGTCCTGTGCCACATTGTTTAAATAGCAAATGCATTTGTGCCCATTTGTGCGCCCATGGGCGTGCTGGTCTGAAAACGAGGTGTGTTCAGGCGCATTGCTGGCACGTTGCTATTTTGAGGCAACTGAAATAGACTGCGCTATTGACCAACAAAAACCTGGTCTAAAGTCAACGGCGCAGTAGTTTTTAAAGAGCGCGTTAGTATAGGTGGGTCCACAGCACGCATACACTCTGCTTATTACACACACAGGGATGCACAGCAGCACACAAGCATGCCAAATATTAAAATGTATAATGTAAAAGATTATTATTGTGTAGACTACATTTCTGTCAGGACCACTATCATCAAAGATGATTGACAATTAGCATACAGTTTGGATTGGCGGTATGGTTCTGCTCTGGGCAAGAACTCCCTGAGCATCCATGCAGCCTAGCATGGATGAGAGCAGGGAGAGCAGCGATAACCCTGCTGATAATAAACTGCTGATAATACTGAGGGACCTTATATATGAATGCTTAGATAGGTTTTGTATTCCTATAGGTAGATGGGGATCAGCTGAGAGTCAGCTGATGCGAGCTTGACTAATGTGACCTGTCAGAACTAACGCTACGCTGGTAACACTTCACAATAAGGTTCATTAGTTAAACATTAGTTAATGTATAAACTAACATGAACTAACCATGAGCAATACATTTGTTACTGTATTTACTAATCTTCACTAATGTTAGTTAATAAAAATACAGATGTTCATGTTAGTTCACAGTGCATTAACTAATGTTAACAAGATTTTAATAATGTGTTAGTAAATGTTGAAATTAACATTAACAAAGATTAATAAACGCTGTATAAGTTCAGTTCATTATTAGTTCATGTTAACTAATGTAGTTAACTAATGAACCTTATTGTAAAGTGTTACCGCTACGCTTGAAAAATATAAAAATGCCTACATGTCATAATGGATAGTCATTGCATGTATCAGAATTAGGCTACCTATTTGCTCACGCACGAGCAGATCGGTTTCATCTGTGAAGACGCGTTCTGTCTTTGCTCTTGCAAATTCCGCCATGTAAATAGCAAATCCGCCATGGCACGAGCGCAACTGGCTCTTAAAGGGAATGGGAGATGGGACTCTTATTGGTTTATTGCACGTTATGCCCAAAAAACACCCATTACTCATTAAGAGAATAGGCACAACCCTTTTAGACCGTTTTTCCCGTTGTTAAACTAGCAAAAGTGGATTTGGACACGCCCTAAGTGCACCTGCGCCGTGCGCTTTAGACCATACGCTTAGATCATTAAAATAGGGCCCCTTATCTTTAAAAGGACAGTTCACCCAAAAATTATATTTCTATCATCATTTATTCACCCTCATGTCATTTAACACAAAATAAGATATTGTTGGGATCTAAACAACACTGGAGCCTAATGACATTTTTCTAAATATGTTCACATTTGATTTACTGAGTGCTTACCTTTCCAGGAGAACATTCTGTCCCATCTGCCCATGGCATGTGTTGGGTCCGGCAGCCACGCTGGACTCCTTCTGGACTGGTGCACCACAACCTTCGGCACTGTGTCTGCACAACGTCCAAACACTTACTGTTAGCTTAAAAAACTCTTAAACACACACACTTACGCACAAATTTGTACTGACACTTGTTTTTTCTGCTCGCGTAACATGCTTTGAATGTCACTTTGATATTACTAGCTGTACTATGGATTCTGTTTATTTTTTATTAAAAACATCTCCATAAATAATATTAGACAGCAGATAATACACAGTAGAAAACGTCCATGTCAGTATGTTATGCAATTCCCTGAGGGATCTTCTCACCATATATGGGCACACTTGTGTCCCAGGCCCAAATATCAGCTCACATTGTTTATTGACACTGTATATCTGTCCAGGCAGCTGCTGGGACAAACTGTATGGCCTAGAAACTGGCTCATCGAGCAAACACTCGCCATACCCTGTGCTAATGATAAATGATAAACAAATGAGCTGAAGAAAAACAAGACAAACAAGACACAAACAACACAAATGATATCAGTAAGTGACAGAAGACAAAAAAATTTATCTGTTCTGTTTGCTACAGATGACGTTGTTTCCATTCCAATTGAGAATGTTTAGAAGAAAACAAATGCAAGTTGACACTGGACATGTGGGGCTCAACATCGAGAGTTCAAACCAACATCACAGGTTCTGTGACTGTGTGGATTGTAAAAGGGGGTTTACATACTCGAGGAACTCTGTGATGTATTTCCGACTGCATTTGGACCACATCCAAGGATTGGTGTAATAGTTGAGCGTAGGGGCCATCACATGTTGCTGGTTCTTGACTCCATCCTCCTTGCATTTGTTACTGTCATCATGAGGCATGTTGAACCTAAGGGCATGATTGAAAACACACATGCACACACACACAAACAGGACAATATGATGAGCAGGGTCAGGACACATGTACTCTGATCTGCACACATCTGTAAGACTGACCAAAACCAGGTATTTTCACATTTGTAAAAAAAAAAATTTTTTTTTTATGTTTTTTGAATTTGCAAATAAAACAAAGAAGTCTTTCAGTCTTTCCACTTCAAAATTTCACATTTATTTCAATGTGTTACTTGATGTTTCTTTTTTACAAAAATTTAAAAATCATATGTATATCACATCTATCTATCTATCTATCTTATGATGATGGCAAAGGTAACCTAAATGAAAAAATAGAAAATAGGGGAAATGAGAATTAACAATTAAATATCCTAAAGCATTAAGGACATTTCAGTAAATATTTAGTGAATACAGCATAAAATAAGTTCATTTTAGTTCTTTTTTTTTTTTTCCATTTGTCGTCAATAAACTGTATTATTTATATCAGCATTAAATAGACCTTTTGCCACCCCGCTCTCTAGATATTGCCAGTATTAAAAAAAAACTATATCAGTTGGCCATCCGTAAGGAAAGTAATAATCCCATGAGCAGCAGAACATATCAAATTCTGGGACAACCATAGGGGAGAGAGGTGGTACGCGCTGCATAGCACTGTATAGCACCAAGACTAAATCCTCACTCGAGCACATGGCACTGATGTCACCACCTGCCACCGGATAAGAATGGAATTCAAAAAGAGAGTTCATTTAAAGGCCTTTTAGAGGTCAATTCCATATGACTGTACATGCAAACTTAGGCCTAGATCCATTTGCCAATATTGTGGCATAAATATTGGCCTTTTATTGAAGATTTTTACCAAGCTGAAATAGGAACAGATACCGACAGAATGTTTGTTTTACTGTACTTGACCATCATGAGACCACTGTATGAGCCATGACCTCATTTGTTAAGATAATTTACCTCCAAGACTCTATTAAGCTAAAAAAAAAAAAACAGAGCATAACTGAGTCATTTCAGCAGTGGTGAACAGACCTTGAGAAGTTGCACAGACTATTATCGAGCTGTACAAACGGCAATGACATCTCCCCAAAACATACCAAAATAAAAGACTAAAAAATAGGACAAAAGGCAGTGAAGAGGCCTGAGAAATTTGCAGACTGGTGGACCTTGAAGAAGTTCTACTACAAAAGTAGAACACAATAGTAGATAAATTATTTAAAGATAATTTAGTTTTAGGTATAATAAGAGCTCTTCTCAAGCAAAGTCAGTGTGACAAACAACATTTATAATGTAGGAGATGTTACAGCTCAAAAAGTATTTGGACACTTAAGCCACACTCAAAACTTAAAAATAAATGATTTAAAGACAATTATTTGGACACTTAAGCCACACTTAAAACTTAAAAATGCATGACTGTCATTGTGCTAGAAAGCAAAAAATGAATTCAAGTGGCATTTATGTTGTAGGGGGAAAGTATGCGCACATTTACAAAGTGAAATATTTCACAAAAATAGTACTCACACATGGCCAAGCTCATGAGCGATGGTGAAAGCAGTACTGAGTCCATTATCCTCATTAATACTGCAACTTCTGTAGGGATCACAAACTGTACCCAGCTCAGCAAGACCTGAAAGTGCATGAGAGAACACCGTAGTTAAACTGTCAACTTTAATATGATCATAATCACCATTTTCACACAAAGATGATTTACCTAAAGTGTCACACTTGTCCCGAGCACGACAGATGTCCTGCCTAAAATCAAAAAAAGGACAAGGCTTCACAAATTTGGACACCCTTTTATCTTGCATTTGTGTCTGTGCATGCATTCATGGCCATGAAAAGTACAGCCTAAGAAGTTGTAGCACTATAAATAATTACTTTGTTACTCAAATAATTTCTGTACTGTTTTGCTCAAGGTTCACACCAAGTATAAAGTTTTTGTGTTGCCAAATGAATGGCACTGAAATCATACTGTGGAGAGAGGACACAAAACATAGCACAACTAGACTTATCGTATGTTTTGTATTCTACAACACCTGTGAGCAATAGGAATAGGTAAAGAGAAAAAATCTAAACCATTCCATAAAAATCGTTCTTACCTTGTGATTAGGATAGCGGTGTCGTGATGCGAGTGATGATTGTCATCCGGGTGGTTCTGACTCTGCTGCCATATGCAGAAGTTTTTCAAACTAGCTTGTGCATTGAAAGAGATAGTGGGACCATCCTATAGAAGACAGATGATAACATTTGAATAAGGTTAAGGTTTAACTGTAAAAAACTGCTTAAGTACATTCTAAAAGCGCCCTTAATGCAACCATTAATTACCACACTTCCACACAAATAACTCTTACCAGCTCATTCTTTATGATGACCAACTTCACAATAACAATGTTAATCAGGTTTCCAATGCTGGGATCCTTATAAATGGAGGAAACCTAAGTGAGAGAACACAAACAACTGGAATTCATTGTCAGGGCTTATAATTACTTTACAGCAGGGGTCTCAAACTACCGGCCTCAGAGAGTTTCAGCTGTTATTATATTATACACTACTGTTCAGAACTGTTCGGGGGCAGTAGGACTGTGAGAAATTGTACTTTTATTCTGCAAGGATGCATTAAATTGCTCAAAAGTGACAGTAAAGATATTTACAATTTTACAAAAATATTATATAACTGTTTTCACCATTGATAAGAATAAGAAATGTCTTTCTGAGCACCAAACCAGTGTATTGGAATCATTTCTGAAAGATCATACGACACTGAAGACTGGAGTAATAGCTGCTCTAAATTCAGTTTTGCCATCAGACAAATAAGTTACATTATTTTAAAATATATTAATATAGAAAACAGTTGTTTGTTTTTTAATTCACATTAATCTTACTGTAATTTGATCAAAATATGCAGCCTTGTTGAGAGTAAGAGCCTTCTTTCAAAAACCTTTTAGAATGTTTTTAGATCTTTTGTAATCATCACAAAATATTTCAATCAAAATATAATCACTCAAAATGTGAAAGTACTTGGTAGGGTGGTTTTTACATTTGCTGTCTTGATTTTTTTTAATACACAAAGACCTCGTTGAACATGTGATGTTAACCTCAGCTGTTGAAAAAAAAAGTTTCTTGGCCATTGAGAACTAGCTTGTGCTGCCAGATCCTGCTGAGAATTCAGCCTTTGCCAAGATCAAAATATAGGTCATCTAACCTCCCTGTGAGTTCCAACGAAAAAGTATCTAAAGCATGCAGTCCATGCAACATACCTGATTTTATTTGTTTTATATTCAACATTCATCAAGTCTGTCAGACATATTCACCCCATGCTAATAATCTGTCCCGTAAGAGCATAGTAAGAGCAAGAGCACCAGACCTAAAGCAGACCCAGACACAAACCAGGAGGCTATTGTTAACTGGGCAGAACTTACGATGGACATCAGTGTAAGAATGTAGTGCTGGAGGTTGCTTCCATGATGTTCCACCATCTTGCTGTCTGCAACAACCATGACTTCAACAAAACGGGGGTAGGAGAGGAAACGCTTTGATCTCCGGTGTGGCTTGGAGTCACTGCTTTCATTAGCGGAGTTGTGCTTGTTTTCTGAGGAGGGGAAGGGGGCAGAGAAGAGTCTGGAATTAAGAGTCTCCAGGTCGGACAACATGCTTGAGGGTGACTTTCTCTTCAGTCTGTTCCTGTGTCTGCGGTGTGGCTCTTTATGTCCTGCATTAAAGGAGGAAAATAATACATAAAGTGAAGTGATTATGCATCCAATGAGGGTTAATCATTATCTATATTAGATGATAATATGGATTGTAGACAGATGAGCCTCCATAAAAGTGAATGCATGCAACCGCTCAGGGTCAGTAAAAGCTAGTTTGAACTGAAGAATGTTTCTTGAGTGCCAATCAGTCTATTAGAATGATTTCCGAAGGACCATGTGACACTGAAGACTGGCTAAAAATTCAGCTTTGCCATCACAGGAATAAATTCCATTTTAAAATATGATCAATCGCAATAATATTTCACAAAAAAGTGTACTGGGAATCAAAATGAATCCTATTCCACTAGACAAAAAGAAAGCCACAATGGAGCTTTCAATAAAACTCTTGCAAACTAAAGTAAGTTCTTCTCCCAGCACTTTTGGGGGCTAAACGTTTCCTTTACATAGCACAATACCAAAGAACACCAAAGGGGTAATTCAAAAAACAAAGCTGCTGTTGAGTGCTATTGATACGCAGCAGGGTGTATTAGCCCTGTCCAAATTTATTTTTGTAACACTGAATTTACAAACACTTAAAACTGGCATTGCTTTACTAGAATGCATCTCACCATGTGGCTTTCATGGTATTGGGCCTCTTGAGTTTCCTTATCTTCAGGCCACAGGAAGTGCAAGAGTCAAAAGGATTTTGTGGCAGTAAACTAATATTGGAATGATACCAAGAACTTCCAAAATGATTTTTCCTGTTCCACTGACTTCTACTCAATGACATTTCAAAATAGAAAAGCAAAGGATGCAAAAGAAACCATGAATAGCGCTATGAGTATTTCAATGCCAATGATAGCATATCCGTTTCCGTGCCTAGAAGCGTTGTGCTGTGCTTATATTCATAATCGTATTTAGATTTACAGAATTATAACTGGTTAATTGAATTATGCTTTAACATATTATTTACAAAACTACATAGAAACAATATGGTAAATTAATGCTTCTTATCTTGAATATGAGTCAGTACAATGCACTGGGAGTCACTGAATTCACTGCAGCGATGCAAGATCCAGCATGGTCCAGGACAGTTTTGTTATTGTAAATATTACTGATTTTGGTTTACTTTAAAGTTTAAAATCAGATGTTTACCTCTCAAAACTGTTCCACTCAAAAGGTAAGACGTGCGCATCTTCCTGCTTACCTGAAGTTTCACATGTAGTTGAGTCATCCACAGTCTTTTTTGAGGCATCTTTTCTGTACACGACATGAGGTTTGATGTGTTCTTCTTCATAATGTTCACCATTGTAGCTATGAAGGGGTTCCACAAAAAACTCCCCTTCTGGTGACCTGAAAGTGCCAAGCTAAAACAAACAACAAAGTTTAAATTGGTCCGCAGCCAGTGAAGTCTATAGACACATTCTGTGTGTGACTGTAAATTGCCCTTACAACTTCCCCCTAAGATTTGATTTACGCACAAATCCTAAGTGGCTGATGGAGTGATAAAGTAAACATACATTGCATGCATATCAGTGTACTGGCCTCAGGGGGGTAATGAATGCAGAATGTTGTTGATAACTATCAGAACATTCTGCCACACTTACGAAGCATAAAGGTTTGAAATGTGAATTTCCTAAAAGCCAGCGAGAAGCACATTGGTAAACGCTCTCCTTATCTTCGAGAAGAAACATATTGAACAGGTTTGAGACCGGTTATTGTATTACAGATAGCATATTTTAGACAAATTGTTTGTATACACCTGAGCATTAAGGGATACAAACTGGCCATCCCAAACAAGCCTGACAAATTTACAAAAAATTGCCGGAGATTCTGCATTAGAATACATGTGCAATAACTTTAACATTAAAATACCATATAACCATATAATCTCCCGGCTACAGGCACTCTATACCAGGCCTGGACACCGGCCCTCCAGGACCGAGTTTGGACAGCCCTGCTCTATACTAATGGGGGTAGTGTTATCTAGGCACGCAATCCAAACTTCATAGGTTCAAACCCTGAAAGGAGGAATAAATGAATCACGTTGTGTCAGATTTTCTTCAATGTGTAGGTTAAAATCTAATAAAATGTTAACGTAACATTTTCTCTTTTTGGGTTTGTTAAATGTTTTGAATATTTTAAACTAGTGCTTCCCAAACCTGTCCTGGAGGCCCCCCTGCCCCGCACCTTTTGTATGTCTCCCTTATCTAACACACCTGATTCCACTCATCAGCTCGTTAGAAGAAACTGCAAGAACTAAATTGGGTGTGTCTGATTAGGGAGACATACAAAATGTGCAGGGCAGGGGTCCCTCAAAGATAGGTTTGGGAACCACTGTTTTAAACCAACATTTTGGTTTACGTTATGGTGCTTGAGGACAATCAAGAGCAAACTAGAATGCAAACATCAGATTAATTCAAAAGGCGGCTAATTAGGGACACAGATTCTTTCACTTTCACTGAAAGCCTAGTTCTCATGATAGCACATTGAAAAATATTGGACATATAATGCTTTCTGACAATCTCCATTGACAGACATTCAAAAGTAACCAAATATTCTTCCATAGATATAGCCTCAGTTAATTTGAGCATTGTTTAGCATCACCGTCTAAACGTTTTATATAGAGCGTGCATTGCCTGGATGTCAAGGACAACGTAACAACGAAAGCATCACTAAATACGGGTTGAATAGGTTCTTTGAAACGATTCGGAAGAACCGATTCGCTAGTTCGTTCCCAACACTACTTTTGATCTGTGAGAACCTGCGTTACATGGCACGACCTCACGTTCACATCATCAGATGACATCTGAGTCCCATATATGGACTGCCGAAGACGTCGGGCACACTACTGCTGCTTATGCCACTGATGAGTGTGCGTCACCCAGCTCATTTACAGGGCGTAATTTTGTATGATACCTGATTTAACATGTTGGGAAAATACTTTCGAAGCGATCTGTCTCAAAATTGGTGCGCATGTATCCGACTAACTAGCTCCAAACTTCTTTGTGCGATTGTGTGCGAGTAATTATGTAACCACATAGAAAGGATCTGGGGTGCGTATTAACATTTGCAAAGTTTCTGAATGCACGAATGCATATTGCGACCTGTATCGCATAAATTATGATTAAGATAATTATTAGTAATAATAAACGTTTATTAAACTCACCAGACCGGAGCAGAGGTTGATTACTGCGGTATGCTCCTGCCCAGCGTTCACATGTCCTTTATAAAAGCAGTGCTGATACTCCGTGTCCTCCTCCTCCCCCTCTTCTGAATTATAACCTTCACTGGATTCTCCGAGTATCGTGACAGTGTAAACTGGCGCAATAAATCCCGACTCGAGTGTAAGATTAATGTAATAGTCCTGCCCAAAGGCAGATAATTGGTAATAGACGTGCGGAGAGGTCCAATGATGGGAGATGTTGCCGGTTACTGGGTCGGTACTCCGCTTTCTCCTCTTGAAGTGCACGCCCGTTGGCAGTTTGTCACCGGATTCATTCACTCTGGCCGGAGTTACAATCTCATACGTGCCAAAATGCGATAATTTCGCTGTGGTAGAAAACAGAGATTGAGTAGTAAAATTAGGTAACAACAAGTCAGTCATTCTATAAATGTCGTTTGCAGTGACTTGTAAAGTACATTTTTGTGGCATTTAAACATTTTTTTTCAGACAAACTGTCTAAATGATCAAGTATCGCTCTGCGCGTCTATGTAACAAACAGGTAACAGGGTGGACAGTTTTACATTTTAATTTGGCATTACAAAATAGAGAAACTGCACTTGCTAGAAAAACAATTTAATGTCGAAATTTCTTGAAATACCTACTAATCATGGTAACAGGGTTGACAGTGTAAGATTGTGTACAAAGTAATGAAAGTAATGAAAAAGAGAACACTTAAACCTGTCCTTGAAGAGCTCACTTAGAGAATTATTCTCAAATAGGTAAATATAGCCTAATAGTAACAGGGTTGAACACAACTTTAAGTTTTATTTAAATAATTCATTGTCAGCCTACACTACTTTCAAAATATATAGAGAAAAAGCTCCATCAAAATAGTTGCTGACTGTTTTTTCCCCTAAGACTCCACGAGATAAATCAGGTGTCAGTCAGTTACTATTACTCGAAGACTCTTCATACAGCGCGCTATGAGCTCTGAAGCAAGCAAGGAAAAGTCATTCATTCTCCGCGCCTGAAGGTTCTGAGTTGATTCAGAGAGTAAAAGATCACGAAAAGAGCTCATACCTTTCTCTGAACCTCGCGGTGTCCCTGCTGAAGCTACTGCATTCATAAAATCAGAGAGTAATACTAAAAAACTTAGTCCCCAGAAGAACAAAAACATGATTGTCCACGTTAAAAAAATCAATGCAAGCAAGCCCGAATTCAGTATTCCGCTGTCTCTTGAAACCGCGCTCAAGCCGGGATTTCTGCCGTACGGTTGCCACATCCAAAACGTTTCTCCTCTACTTTATAGAAGTGACTTCCATGTCGCTAACAAGCGCTCGGTCGGAGCTCTTGGTTTGCATGCATAATACCAGAAAGGGGGTCGATGCAACTGTGGTGGTCTCCAGTTTGCTGATTACTCTAGCCGAGACTTGGGCGTACTCTAAGAGACACCCCTCTCTCAGAAAGCCACTCCTGCCATATGTGTCGCTAATGCAGCGTGCAGACTAAACTTCATTTTAAAATCACTGAATATGTTACTCATAACGATCATGCACACGTGCATTATGTTCTTGTTCCTACTTCAGACTGTGCAGTTATGGCTACATTCAGTTCCGTTGCCTCTCTCTCATAAGATAGTTCTTAGACTAATTGACGTTTACATTAATACAAACAGCTTTGGGTCAATAAATAAACTTCTACATTTAAAGAGCAAGGAGCGCTCTAAATTTGACCACCTGACCTTCAACATAATCTTAAATAGAATATGACATGATATATATTACTGATAAAGTCCACGGAGTTTCTCTTGTATATGGTAGTTTCCCACTTTTCGGGCTGTTTTTAAGCGTTTGTGTCTGTCCCAACACCTGTGTCCCAGCAATGTGCATTTATATGACTGATAAGTGTTTTTCAGTGGCCAATGCTGATACCAGTTATTAGGCAGCAGGGTGGCTGAATACCAATATACACTGAACAAAATTATAAACGCAACACTTTTTTTTTTTTGCCCCCATTTTTCATGAGCTGAACTCAAAGATCTAAGGCTTTTTCTATGTACACAAAAGGCCTATTTCTCTCAAATATTGTTCACAAATCTGTCTAAATCTGTGTTAGTGAGCACTTCTCCTTTGCCGAGATAATCCATCCACCTCACAGGTGTGGCGTATCAAGATGCTGATTAGACAGCATGATTATTGCACAGGTGTGCCTTAGGCTGGCCACAATAAAAGGCCACTCTAAAATGTGCAGTTTTATCACACAGCACAATGCCAGAGATGTCGCAAGTTTTGAGGGAGCGTGCAATTGGCATGCTGACTGCAGGAATGTCCACCAGAACTGTTACCCCTTAAATGAATGTTCATTTCTCTACCATAAGCCATCTACTATGCGAAGGAGATGTGTTGCACTGCGTGAGGCAAACAGTGGTCACACCAGATACTGACTGGTTTTCGAACACAAAAAGTGTAAAACAAAAACAAAAGTGTTGCGTTTATAATTTTGTTCAGTGTATAATGCTGATATTTGTGATGTAGACTATTATAAAGCAATTGAGACATATCCTTGTATGCTGAAATTAAACATTTTACGCAGGATTCACTAAAATATATTTTAATAACCAATGTTACTTTGCACTCTGATAGCTAATTATGCAAGAATCACTTTTAAATCACTGCATGAGCAGTAAAAACATATTGGCCCAATACATATTTTTCCTTACAGCCACAAAATCTTCTGGAAGGTATTCTCTAATTACAGTTACAGTATCTTATCTGAAGTTATCATAAACCTGCTTCATGGGATTCATTTGGGTTATAGATTTGGACAGAGCATAGTACAGTTTTCCATTAAGTTTAGATGAAAAGAGTTGGAGATTCTATCTACACTGTAAGATTTCCTGGAGTGAATATGATTTCACCATGCACCAGCTGTAAGGCTGCTTAAAGGAAAGTATGAATGAGCGAGAGAGAGAGAGGCTGACTGTAGCATGTCGGACTTGCAATCGTGTAACAAGGGTGACCTCAAGTCAGTGTAAACTTCACTTCTTCTTGGATTTGATGAGATGATAAGAACTAGAAAGCTTGAATGGATGCTGAAAGTTGACTCGAGTGTTCAAAGAAGGGTCAAGATGTGTCACTGAATGTCCCTGCACCACTATGCTAAACTTTACCTCACAATCATCCGATAATCAGACATAAGGCTAGATTCCCAGGTTCCTTTTTTTCTTTTCTTGTGCATTCTCATGAGAAAAAAAAATGGGGTTGAATGAAGTATTTGCACTTATGATCCAATTAAATACAGTTTGCTAATCGATTGCACACATACTGCATATACAATTGCATTTCTAGTATGTTGGATAAATTCAACAAAAAGTCATTCAGAAATGTATGGAAGCCTATTTCTGCCTCAGAGTAAAAAATCACAGGAAACAGTGTAACATTGTGTGATATAAAGCCCCAGTTGTGGAGTATAAAGTTGCAATTATGAGAAACAAATTTGCAATTGTGAGACAGTCACATTCTGAAATATATAGTCTCACTTACAAGAAACAAGATCAAGAGAAACAACATTACATTGTGTGTAATAAAGTCCCATTTGTGTGATGTAAATTTGCAATTCTGAGAAACAAATTCACAGTTTTCAGATATAAAGTCACACAAGAAACAAAGTGGCAGTTACAAAAAAAGTAATGTGAGATTTAAAGTCACAATTATGGGAAACAAATTTGAAATTGCAAGATATAAAGTCACATTGTGAGATATAAAGTCACACTTACAAGAAACAAAGTGGTGATTACGATAATCAAAGTCACATAATAAAGTAACAATTGCAAGAAATTAAGTCACAAATGTGTGAAACTTTTTCATCTCACATTGTAACTATCTCAGAATCTTAAAGGGGACATAACACAAACAGTTTCACCCAATCTCATGTTAATCGTGAGTACCAATAGAGTAGTATTGCATCCTTCATATCTCCAAAGAGTTTTTAGTTTTATCATATTTTTAAAAGAAAAATACAGCTTTACGATTCTCCCCGAAAACAACTCAGAATGCATGGGTTGCATTCTGACCCCCTTTGTGTTTTGTCGTAATAAACTTTTTAATATAAAATACAAAGCCGGGTCAGAGTGCTGACAGTGCTAAACTGAACATAGACACTTTCCAAGATCTACAGCAGCTGCTTGGGGTCTTTTCCAAATCCAAGCACTTTACAAATCTTGTACTGCTCCATGGAATGAGAACACTACAAATTAAGTAAAGCAGGGATCCATCAAGATTCACAAACAGAGATTAGACAGGAGAGATAGACTGATGAAACTTGTTAAGGTTGGAAAGACCTTTTCCAGGCCACTTCATAACAAAGCCCATCTGTGTTCATAAAACTTCTCTGCTATTTAAAATGTTGTTTATTTAGATGTGCTTTTGACTGCATGGCTGCCCTGAATCATTCTCATCATGTAATGAATGAGAGAGCATTTTACATATGGCATCACTGGTGTAACACTGACCATGGCGAGTACTTGGAAAAACGTGTGGGATTGGGCGTCCAGATGGATTTAGACTAACTTTGATTAATATGAAATGTGACAGATGGTTTAAGAAAAGTGGTTATGTTGTTGATCTGAGCCTTCATGGCATTGCATTACGGCTGCCTGACCCATCTCCTCACATATCTTCTCGTGTCAAACATAAGGACAACATGGTGACCTAATCACTCTCAGCTGTGAGAGAAATTGAAAAAGATAATTCAATGCCCAAACTGCTTAAGCCTGCACGCTGATATGAAGCAGCTGGACAAAAATAGGGAGAAGGGAGGGGAGCAAATGAAAATGGACACACAGCATTAACACTTGTCATGTCAAGAGAACTATTTTCTTTAGCTACACCTCGTGTTACACCAAACAATTAGTATCATCATGAAGGATGATACTTTCATGATGATACTAAATGTTTGATAAGGGGCCTCATAAATTTAATGACATAGTGCTTATGATTACACATGACTAGTCTGCATTGTGTGTTATTATAACATACTGAATGTAATGTTCTATCAGTACATATCTTATTATAGTTATTAGCATTCATGCAAATAAACAAACCACTTCTTAGGGAAATATGGTTACAGTTTATTTTAAGGTGTCCCTGAAGTATGTAATATTAAATGTACTTAATATAGGGATAGGGTTCGATTTAGGGTTAGTTGCATCTAATTATGTATAATTTACCATTATTACTATAGTAAGTACATGTAACGTCCAACAAGGACACTGTAAAATTGTTAAAGTGAGTCACTTACAATAGAAAGTAAATGGGAGGATTTTTGGGAGGATTTAAAAGCATAAACATGAAACTTGTAATCTTATTTAAAAAAAAAAACACTTAGATTAATTCTACTGTGAAAACTTGAGTATTATTTGAGCCGTAAAATTGTTCTCATCATTTTATGGTTGGTTTAGGCTTTTAGACATATATTGTCATGACAATGTAAAAAAAAAATTATCACTGTAAATAGTTTACTTTTTTGTGTCTAAACTGTTAAAACAGTGAGCATTCTATCATTTACATATTGGTCTCATTTACTTTCAATGTAAGTGCCTCAATGCAAAAAAAAAAATGGGGGGCAAGTGAAAATAATTTTTGTGGTAATCAGCATTATGCCACAAGCGCTGTCAGTTAAGCTTAAACTTGTATTGTGTATTCTTTTAATGATAGTTTCTGAAAAGCCAATCAGATTATGCCTCCCCATTTTTTACACACAGTAAAACTCTTTCTCCAAACTGTACATCTTTACATCAAAGCCATGTGCCTGTACGAAGAGGAACCATGAGGAAATATGCTTGCCCTCTCCAGATGCAGTGGCCGGGCCTTTTGTCATATCATATATAGCTTAGAATTCTGGGTCACAAACTCCATTCTCTGGTTGTCACTGGGATGAGAATGGCCAGGCCAGAGTCCCGCTGGCAGGAGCTTGGAGACCCGGGACTCACTGTGACTTCAGCCCCTCAGCGTCTGACAGGATCGCAGCGGTGCGGCGCTGGGGCCCCCGCTTGAGAAAAACGGCAGCCCAAATTACCTCTGCACTCCTGTGTGAACGTGGGCATTCATTGAAAAAAGACGAAGGGAGGGGTGGAACTTGTGGGTCTGAAAGAGACTAAGAAAGAGTTAAAGAGACATGCTGAGAGAAATCCACTAGATTTATTACAAAAACTGCAAATTTCCAAAAGCATACTTTAAGAACAGAGTCAAATGAACAACCTGGCTGAGATTCAAGACATCAATGATAATGATCATGAGCCTTCACTCGTCATTCTTTACAGACAGCATAATTTGTAACGTGGCTGTCAGAAACATGAGCAGATTATTCTTCTTTTGAGAAATCGTGCAGAG